GGAGTGTTCTTTTAAATAAAATTATAATTTTTATTTGAACCCACTCATTTTAGGGGAAAATTTTTTTGAAATTTCATTGAATTGACACGAATTATGGCATAACAAGTAAGCTCTATTAGGAGTTACCTTATAACTTTAATTACATTTATTTAGGGCGTATTATCTATATATTATACTAATATTACTCGTATAAGGAGGTAAAGTTTGTGAGTTTGTGACGTTGTAGGGGGTAATCTCTGGATAAACTGAACCGATTTAGATGAAATTTGGTAAAACGATATTTTGAGACCCTGGAAAGGACAAAGGAGCTTTTTATCCCGGAAATCATCCTTTAAGGGGGTGAAAATGGGGATGAAAGTTTGTATGGGGAATCAAGCTAGGGACGAAACCGAGCGAAGAGAGGGTGAGTCGCTTGTGTATAATAAAATTATAGTCTACAAGTCTAAGAGTACAAACCGAAAACGTATCCATTTTTCTTTATTTCAAGTGCCACATTCAAACGGGCGCGATGAAGTGACATTGTTTCGGCGGTTATCAATTTTTGGCATCCTATTTGGTTTGTTTAAAAGCAAAACTGTTACGTTTTAAGCTAAAGTTTTAAACAAAAAAAAAGACAAATAGGTTTTATATTATAATTATTAATTAATATTGCTTAGTGATTGATGTCAAAGTATAGGTAGGTACCTTTTACTAAAAATAAAATACTGACTTCAAATTCAGTAATTATTCAACTTTACGAGTTGATTTCTTCTTGAAATTCATTGGAAATCGCCATTTATGTACTTTAAAGTTTATTAGTTTCTAATATTATTTTATAGCCTATTGGGGTCACGTTTGCTTAGGAAACAGAGTAGGTTCAACTACAAGTTATGTTATGAGAAGTAGTATTTAGCATTTTAATATTATTATGAACATTGCTAAGACTTAAATATTGCGTAGGTGGTTTTATGTGAAAACTGGCGTTTTTCCGTGACTCAACACGCATAGTTCACTTATTACGTATGTATCTTAGAAATTAAAATCTATGTGTAACTCTGATGTATAAGCTATATTACTGTAAAGTTCTATCAAAATCGGTTCAGTAGTTTTTGTGTGAAAGAGTAACATTATATACATTCATCCGTATATCCGTATAAAACTTTTACGTTTATAAAATTAGTAGGATTAATATGTATAATAAGAAATGTAAAACAAATATTCATTGGTAATATATTATAACTAGCGGCTCACCCTCGCTTCGCTCGGGTTCACCTCTAGAATAGCACAAACAGATCTATCCCACGGGAACCGTTCATTTTTCCGGGATGAAAAGTAACCTGTTATTTGACCGGCAGTATAAGGTATCAGCATGCCAAATTTTACGAAATTAGGTGCGTAAGTTGTTGTGTACTAAGCTGTATAAATTACTATAGTTTTTTAACTATCCTGTATAAATTACTATAGTTTTATAACTACATACAAAAGGTATCCTAAATGTTGACTCGAGTAATAAGTTATCACCAAATTTCGTTGAAATCGGTACATTACTTTTCGCGTGAAATGCTAACGCAAAAACAGACAAACAGACATACAGGTAAACAGACAAACAGACAACTTTTTAATAACTATTGTTTTGGGGTTTATGTTGTGTACATAATACGTTACAAATAAACAAAAACATCTATCCCACGGGAACAGTACATTTTTCCGGGATAAAAAGTAACCTATTTCTTATTCTGATGTATGAACTATATATATTATTGTAAAGTTTCATTAAAATCCAATCAGTAGTTTTTGTGTACTAAGCTGTATAAGCTGTTATAGTTTTTTAACTATCCCACGGGAACTCTTTAATTTTCCGGGATAAAAAGTATCTAAGATGTTGCACGGGGATATAAGGTACCACCATGCAAAATTTTATTTAAATCGGTCCAATAGATTCGGAGATTAGCCCGTACTAATAGGAAAACAGATAAACAGCTCGCTCGGGTTCGTCCATACCTACGAATATGTTGTATTATCTCTTTAACCATTTGTCCAAATTATATGCAGTAAAAGGGAAAAGTCTTTTGTTTTAAACATTTTAGACGATAAATTTACTTATTTTGATAAGAATTCATAATTGTTGATAATATGACCAATAAACATGACCTACCGATTTAAATTATTTTTTTAATATAAAAAACTACTTTTTGTGACTTAAATATAAAAGTTAGACATATGCTGTCGCTGACTTTTTTGTAGGCATTATTAAGCTCTACAACTTTTCTCTAGAACATAATCATATATCTCTCACCGTTAATGCAGCGTTCGTAAGAAACCTTTTCGTTCGACCGTTTTTTCTCCGACTTACTTTGCAAATCCGACTACCACGAAAAAGCCTTTTCATTCTTCGCGTTAATATATAGCCTATGACACTCAGAAAGAATGTGGCTTTCTATTGGTAAAAGAATTTTGAAAATCGGTTCAGTAGATCCAGAGATTACCCCCTACAACGTCACAAACTCACAAACTCACAAACTCACAAACCCACAAACTCACAAACTCACAAGATCACAAACTTTACCTCTTTATAATATTAGTATAGACTAATTACGTCCACGTAAAAGTTTATTAATTAAATAGCTTAGAAATAATTAATGATAATTTAAGAAAAATTATAATACTAAAGACTTTTTGAATAATATTTTATTTATAGAAAAGAAAATATAAGAAGCTTGAAAAAAAGGCGAAAAGTTACCTTAGCACCGTTGTAGAGAATTGTTTATAAAAAACTAAAGTTTTTCACTTCGATTTGAACTCCTTTGTTGATGACACCTGATTTATAATCGTGTCACATCTTTAAATGCCTTTTTTTAATAATATGTTGGGACATTAACACACAGCACCATTTAGTTCCATGGTAAGCTACGAGGCTTGTGTTATGGATACCGGATAGTTGATACACTACACATATATAATTTTAAATACATACATATTATAAATATTGTTACACCCATGACTGGAGTACAAACATTCGTGCTCATCACACAAATGAATGCTTCCAGCGGGACTCGAACCCCGCGACCGCTGGTACAGCGAGTAGGGTCACTACAAACTGAGCCAAACGTGTCTTCAAAAACGTGCCTTATAAATATAACTCTAATTGAGTTCCAGAAAATAATAAATTAGGCCTATTGACGTGGTATTATTGGGCGCCGGCCTCTTGTTAATGCTAAGCAGTCAGGTCTAACACGCTACATCGGCCAACTTTTCACGTCATTCGTCAAATACTCAGGTATTAATGAAGATTTCCATGCAGAAAAGGATACCTAAAAAATCATATTTATTTATTTTATTTATTTATTAGGAAGCCTATGTTATATACTAATAATACATTTCTTAACTTAATAAAGTTATATATAAAAAAGTGTTACAAAGTATATCACAATTACAGGCTAATTTAAGACCTCCAGGTAAATTTCTAAGAAATTAATTAATTTCTAAGAAATCTATTGTTAACTGTAAAGCCGGCGTGTCCGCGGTCGTGGAGGGATTATCAACCAAATAATAATTGTTGAACTAGGAAAAAAGTTGTTTCGGGGCGTCGTAGTTGAATGCGTAAGCGATCCTGCGACGCCCCATTAAGACGGGGGAAGGTTTTGTTGGGTTTTAGTGGGTAGTACTGGCTTTGCCGGTGAGTCCCACACCTCGTGCGTAAATGCATTTCCCAACGTTCAAAAAAAAAAAAGGAAAAAAGTTGTTGTTCACTTATGTTCAAAAAATAAAATAAAAAAAATGAAATAAATCTAACATTTAAATAACAAAATATCTGCGTAAAAAAAGTTTCAACATAAAAATATAACTATATTTCGACATTATATATCGTATATTCTTAGATACATATTCCTTTTTGCGCAGTCGGGTAAAATATTTTTAATTTAATATATAATATGAAATAAGCAAACCGTCATTCAAATTAGAGTACGTCGTTTCTTGAGATAGCGGATGAATTGAGTCACTTTTGTCTGACGATTTATATTTATTTTGTACTAGCATTACCCGCGGCTACGCCCGCGTTCAGATGATCAGAAACCAAATTCTTAGGCTTTACATACTAGTATACTCTTACATTGCAGTTTTTGTATATTTTCTCAGAAATGAGATATTTTCCCGCGGTAAAAAGTATCCTATATGTGGACCCGGATAACCAGCTTACCAAATACCAAATTTCATTAAAATCCCATTAGTGGTTTTTCTGTGATGCGTTAACACACAGACAGACAAAAATTCTAAAAACTAGAATCGGCCTCTGTATCGATAATAATTTCTATTTCAATAAGATTTTCCAAGTAATATTTAACGTACAGATTAAGCTTAGTTACCATTTTAATATATGTATAGATTATCGTTATCTACATAATTTGATATAAGTGTCCATGTCTCATGTATTTTTTCATTATTTATGCTTAAATCATGTTATAACAAAACTGTTTTGATTCTTACAATTATAATTAAAGGGAATTTTGAAAGAGATATTTCTCAAGACAAAAGTTACAACACAGCAACATAATATTAGTACATAATATAAAAATAAATTAAAAACATAATAAAATTGTCTCCCTAAAAATAATTCTTCAAAAACGACATTTATATTACTTATACAACAAAAATCGTTAACTATTGCGCACTGTACACATATACACATATGTACAGATATTCCCATATCTATATCATAGTAATAAATCATTTACCATATTAGGAAGAAAGTGGGAAGAAAAAAAAACATCGATGACATTTATCTAATTACGGGATCGTGATAAGGGGTGTAAAAGGGGAAGGGGCAAATCCCGCAGTCGGCTGGCAGCATTCGTCCACATCGGACCTGCTCACCCAGTCTCTCTTGGCGATCTCGCACGGAAATTTTTGAACACTTGGAACTTTTTAAACTAAATGGCTTAGTGCGTGATAAGTGTAGTGAAATTTTAAGGATATATGATGTGATGATAAGTGATTTTTGCTGTGAAATTTAGTTGCTCAAGATGACTGTTCTTCTTGTTCTCGGACTTTTTGTTGGTGAGTTTTCATATGAAAATTTTTAAATATATTTCTTTGTTACTGTTAAACGTCTTCAATTATTGTGAAGAATAGAAATTCATTATATAAATCAGTGATGAACTCTCAGAAATTTTTTCGCTTGTTAAATGTCAGGTTTAGTTAAGTTTTCAATTTATGGAGCGGACCAATTACATCTCTAATAAATCAAAGGGGTAAATTTTATTCAGAGCAAGTGGCTGATATTTTTAAACATATTACTTTAATATTTTTCTTTATACAAATAAAAATATTTTATATTTTAATATATAATATAAAGTTTTCCGAGTTTATTCTAAACTTTCCTTCGAATGTAAATACTTCCTTAACCTTTAACACCTCCAGGTAAATTTCTAAGAAATTAAGTCCACGGACGTGGAGGGATTAAAGCCCTCAATAACAGATTAATATAATTATATAAGTTTTTGACGACACGTTCGGCTCAGTTTGTGGTGACCATTGCTGTACCAGCGGTCGCGGGTTGGAGTCCCGCTAGAGGCATTCCTTTGTGTGATGGGCACTCTAATTTTTGTACTCTAATCATAAGTGTTTATATTTATATTATGTATGTCATTAAAGTTATATATGTGTAGTGTATCAACTATCTAGTATCCATAACATAAGCCTCGTAGCTTACCATGGAACTAGATGGTGCTGTGTGTTAATGTCCCAACATAATATTTATTTATTTATAACAGTAATTCTATAAGTTTTTTACAGATTATTTATCTACAGTTAATTTATAATATATATACATTTTACAAATGATTTATTTTAATAATGTTATACATAATTAATAATTAATATATAAATAATATGACTATTATATCTACCTTATAAGGTATTTAAAGGAACTTTCACCTTTGACATTTCTATAAATGTTTCCATCGTATCATGCGAGTGATGAATTGCCTTATACGATTTGCAAAGCTAATTTATTCAGTATTTATTTTGCCTTCCAGCATGACGTACGGAGTATTTCTCGATTAATCCAAGAAACAGGCTTAATCTGGTTAAGTGGTTGAAAATACAAAGTACTTATACAGTTCTTTGCGAATTTCAAATTTGCAATCTCGTTTATATTTGGCTGTAAGTGACTTGAATCTCGTGGGTTCTATATCGTATAAGAGATTTTTGAATGGTCTCAAAGGAATTTAGTTGTTCAAGATGATTTTTTTTTGGTTTTCGGGCTTTTTTAACCGAAGAAAAAAGGAGGAGGTTCTCAATTCGACAAGTTATTTTGTTTTTTTGTTTGACCACGCATAACTTTTTACAGTGTAGTCCGATTTCAATGACTCTTTTTTTATTGCATAGGGTATACCTCAAATTTGGTGCCATTTAAATTTAACAAAAAATCCACTAATCCTAAAAGTAGAAAATAGGGGATGATAAATTTTTCACTTACTGAATTTTTAGAACACTTCTTATTTTGCTACTATGTGCTACGTCTACACTTAAGTAGGAAAATAAAACATAAAAAAATAAAATGTGCTTTGATTTGTATCGACTGGTACCGACTTCAAAAATATCTGATTAGGTATCTAGATAGATAGATAGATAAATGCTTTATTGTACACCACAAAGAAATATACAAAAGTAGATATAAACAATAGATGATGCACAGCAGGCGGCCTTATCGCTATAAGCGATCTCTTCCAGGCAACCTTAGGGCGTAGGAGAAATTATATGAAATGGTAGGCGGTGTACTTACTACACACAATTGCATATCCTAAATACAGACATACATAAATACATACATACACACATATATACACACATACATATACACCTATCTATTATAGTAAATGAAAACTAACAATCAGTTGTTTTTTACTTTTTTAGTATTTTTTTCGTTTTCATTAAGTCGGTTTTGTTAATGAGTTTATATGATAATTCCTAATATATAATTTTGTTAGTATTCAACATTTTCAATTATTGTTTGAAAATGGAAAATCATTATATGTATAACTCAGTGGCCAACTCACATAAATAATAGTAATTTTTAATGAAATAATTAAAAATATTTGACTCTATCTCTTGGTAAATGTCAGATTTAGTTAAGTTTTCAATTTATGAAACGAACTGAATTACATTTCTAATAAATCAAAGGATTGAATTTTATTCAAATCAAGTAGCGGATATGCATAGACAAATTCTTACTTTATTTTTTTGTTTATAAAGAAAAATCTTATTACCACTGTATCAATGCGAAAGTTTGGATGGATGGATGTTGTTACTGTTTGTCTCAATGACGCTAGAACGGCTGAACGGATCTGGATGAAAATTAGCACAGTGATAGATTATAGTCTGGAATAGTATATAGGTTACTTTTTTATCCCGGAAAATGTACGGTTCCCGTGGGATAGATTTGTTCTAGTTTTTCATTAAGGTTGAACCCTCGCGAAGTAAGGGTGAGTCGCTAGTATTTTATATTTTAATTCTAGTTTTCCGAGTTGATTCTAAATTTTCTTTAGAATCTGAGTACGTCCTTAAATCTTAAAGTTCTCAATATCGGATTACGGACTCATATATAATAATACATATGTCTTAACTCTAATTGTATAAGTTTGATACAGATACTTTATCTACAGTTAATTTTTTATATAATACTTTCTAGATTTACGCGAATATTTAACATTTTAAATAAAACTATCTTTTCGGATTATTTCGCGGATTTATATTGATTTTTGGTTCCCGACGTTTCGAATGCTTTACAGCAATCATGGTCACGGGAGAGACTAAGGTTTTAGACGCTTCAAAGGCGTTATAATAGATACTTGTTACAGACACACAATTTTACAAAAAGATTTCAAAAATTCAAAAATGACACCAAAGTACCAATATTTGTTGATTTTAATTCTAAACATTTTAAAATTTTTAATAAATATTATAATTAAATATCGCAATATTATTTATTTAATTTTAGCTGTTACAATAAATACTACATTTTTTTTAACTTTATTAGTTAAGAATATTATTTAGTCTTGCTATTATTTTAATATGTATAACCCTAAAAAAATTAAAATAATACTATATAAAATATTATATTACATAAAAGAATATAATATAATTACGTCCCACTGCTGGGCACGGGCTTTCCTTCAATACGAGGGAGATCAGGTCATAGCCCACCACGATGCACTGGCCAAGTGCGGGTTAGTGGACTTCACAAGTCTTTCAAAAACTTGCTAGATTTTCTCAGACATGCAGGTTACACAATTATAGTATATGAACAAGTTTAATTATTAATTTATACGTCTACCTACCACTAAGACAAAGCTTACTCATATTTTATATAGATATTTGCTTAAAAACCGTTAAATGTATCCTGTTTGTTTATACCTTTTGATCTCTGTACTTCTTTCTGAAATCCTTGAGTGGCTTAACGTGTTTTAACGATTTTTATGGCATAATAGGATAAAGGGATTTACGCAGGAAGAATATACTACTTATTATGCTGAAAAAGAAAAATGGCGGAATACAGAGAAGGAGAATGGCTAAATCGATTTTGATGAAGTTTTAACTAGCGAGTAGCGGGTACCCTATCTTGAGATTTCGCCGAAGTTTTAAAGGTAAATTCATCTCGCTAGAAGCGGATGAGACTCATGTGAAAAAGGCAGTAGATTTTTTATAAGAGTTTTATACCGTAAACATTCTTATTACGTCGTGAACATCTAATGAATATGTCGACAAAAAAACTAATAAAAAATTTGTCAACTGCCACTATTTGTCAGACGCTGCCTACATATACTATACTGGCTCTCTATTAAATGATTGAATTTTTTAAAAGTGGTTTAATAATAATATTCAATTTACATATAATATTTTGATTTTTAAGCACATTTACAAATTTATTTATAGAAATTAATCGTTTGCGTTTGGTGCTTGTGCTTATACAATATTAGCGACTCACCCTTGCTTCACTCAGATTCGTGCCTATTTTGCTTCCCCATATAAAATTTCATCCCCATTTTCACCCTCTTAAGGGATGATTTCCAGGAAAAAAACTATCCTTTATCCTTCCCAGGGTCTCAAACTATCGTCTTAATTTATTAACTTCATTTAAATCGGTTCAGTAGTTTTGGAGCTTATTCAGTTCAAGCAGACAAATAAAAAATCTCTTTTATAATATTTGTTTAGTTTTATGTAAGTGTTGATGAAATTGAATGATTATGCTGTTATAATTTATGTATATATACTCGTAACATATTATTTTAACTATTTAAGTTGCTTTACAAAATATCCTTGTATGAGTAGTAGTAAAAATCAGAATAGATTCATTTATAACACAAAAGAAAATCATTATATAAGTACGTTGTATTTACTAAATACACACATTGTATTTACAACTTACAGGCAAATTCGATGTTCACTTTGTCTTTACAATACGTACGTATTCTATATATATTCTGTGATATCTAAAATGTTCGACAATTTTATGAAATGGCTTCATATGAATGAAAAATAACATTACGCTTAAAATAAAAGTCGATTCTTTCAGAAGCTTTCTTTCAATTTCTTAAATAAATATTTATAGCTATCAAAATGCTCTTATTAGCAATAGCAACTAGCAGTCAATATGTATACATATAATAAAATTCTAACGGAGTCGAATCTGTACATTGAATATTTTTTGGAAAATCTTATTTAAATAGTCATTATTATTGATACAGAAGCAGAATTTTAAGAATCTTTGTCTGTCTGTCTGTGACCGCATCATGAGAAAACTATTGAACAGATTTTGATGATTTCTCATTGGTGATTAAAACAGAAAAATGGATATATACATATCTGTATTTTTAACTTAAAAGTAAAAGTTCCATAACAAATTCAACCCCTATTTAGCAAAGGATGCATTTTCAGTTCTTTATTAGTGTTCAACATTGTAAAACCTCAAATTGTACTGTTTGATGTTCGCTAAATTAATAAATTATGAGATTTATTAAAAAAAAATCTTAGATTTACGCGAATATTTGAAATTT